GCTGGTAGAGGTTGCCCTGCCCCGGCCTCAGGTCCATCAGCTTGCTGACGCAGTCGTGCAGGTTCTGGGAGATCACTTCCCGATGGTTGGCGTCGTAGGCCTTCTTGGTCGGAGATCCCGAGACCAGATGGGGGATGAAGTCTGCAAAAGGGCTGTTGATGGGGCAGCCTGAGCGGAAAACGGTCACCTTGTCGCTGAAAGACTCGTTGCTGGCCACGCTGGCGTAGAAGCCGATCTGATCGTACGACCACTTGTGGACTCCGTGCGTGATGCAGCTGCACCCATTGCAGGGTTCCTCGTGAAACGGCCACCAGACGGGTATGTCCACGGGGTCCTGGTGGAACAAAAGGTATGACCTCTGCCGGGGTGCGTTCCGACCAGGATTTCCAAGCGAATCAAGGCCGTGGCGACGGGGAAGGGCGGTGGCATCGGCACGTGTTCCTCCTCCTGAGCTCCGCAGTAACGTTCTTGCACCAGGTGGGGCCATAGAACCAAGTAGCCAGCGCATCCCGCGCGTCTTGCGACTGCTTCACGAGAACTATGCCCGTGTTCACGTCGCCGCTCAGCGGCGAGCGGACGCCCTTCTTGCAGGAGCCCCACTCCTCGGCCACGGCCAGGACCTTGTTAGCCCCTTGGTTCATCAGACCAGCCGCAGCGAACAGGGGCTCCAAGCGCAGGCGCGGCTTGATCACCGTGGTGTCCCTGTCCACCACGAGCAGATACTTGTGCTTCTCGATCAAGCCCATGGCCATGCACGGCTTCGTCCACGCCGGATGCCTCTCCTCCAGCTCCGGACAGCTCTTCTCGGGCGGGCCGCTGTAGAACGCATACCCGTGATATCTGGCATACATCTTCCAGGTGAGCACACCCAGAAACAGTGGGTCGTGGTCGCTTGCATTGTCAGACACATGTTTGTCTTTTTCATAGTTGCTCGGGATGACGATGGCAATGTCTGCCGGGTGGTCAGCATAATGCTGCAACACATCCTCCTGCGGCTCGTATCGGCATACTGGGTTGCCAGAGCCCAACCGTTCGTCGTGGTCAGACAAAGGTCTGGGAACGGTGTCGCACAACATGTCGACCTCAGTGAACATCGATGTGGCAATTTTTGACTTCGGGTCCATCCGCCCCCCACCCGCGCCACCCATCAGGGCACTGGTCCGAATCGCTGTCTCCACGTCCTCATCAAAGTAGGGACTGTAGTCTGGATCGTCCCTCTGCCTCGCCGCACTCGCGTCGCTGGAGCTCTGCGCCCCAAAGTCCCGAGCCCCTGGCAGCTGACCCCCCAGGGACAAGCACGACGTACCCGACGGTACTACCAGCAGCAGTGCCCCCCACAGGCGGGGCATGGGTGCACGTATGAAGCGAGTGCGGTAAGCTCACACGAGCCCATGTGGCTTGAGCTCGAGCCGGAAGCGGCCGTGGATGAGGAAACCAAGCGATACCGACACCGCTACTCCCCGGACCTCTCCCGGGGTGCGCTCTGACCAGGACTTCGAGGCGAGTCCAGCCGTGGCGACGAGGGCCTCCCAGGAGGCCCAGGGAGGCGGAAACGAGGGAAGGCTGGCAGCACCTGCAACCCGAAGTTCGTAGTAAAGGGGAGGGTCACGGCTCTGCCAGACGAGCAAGTTCAGACCCCCCCCCCAGCCCGGCCACGAGAGAGCGGCCGTCCGCTCAGGATCCCCCCCCGGGACCCTCCTGGACAGCTCAGCTCAGACCCCCCTACGCACACAGATTAGATCCTACCCCGCTGACTTCGAAATTCGCGTTGACCTCGAAACTCGGCGCACCTCTGTCCTCCTCGGAGTGGACCCCCCCGTGCCTCGAACCCTGTGGGGGGGGCCCGCGCCCCCGCCCGCGCGAGGCGGAGCTGCCAGTAGGCGCGGCAGCGGCCGAGACCCGGGGCGGAGGCCCGCCCCGCTCCTCCTCCTGCTCCTCCTCCTCCTCCTCCTCCTCCTCCTCCTCCTCCTCCTCCTCCTCCTCCTCCTCCTCCTCCTCCTCCTCCTCCCCTCCTTGTCTTCCTCCTCCCTGTCCTCTTCCTCCTCCCACCTCCTCCTCCCTCGTCTTTCTCCCTCCTCCTCCGCCTCCATCCTTCTTCTCCTCCTTCCTCCTCCTCACTCCTCAGATTCATAATCCATCATTCATCATCACATCATCATCATCATCATCATCATCATCATCATCATCATCATCATCATCATCATCATCATCATCATCATCCTCATCAATCATCATCATCATCATCCTGTCGTGCCTCTCCTCCTGCTCCTTCCTCCCTCCTACTCCTCCCTCCTCCTCCTCCTCCTCCTCCTCCTCCTCCTCCTCCTCCTCTCCTCCTCATCCTCCTGCTCCTCCTCCTGCTCCTCCTCTTCCCCTGCTCCTCCTCCTCCTCTCCTCCTCCTCACTCCTCCTCCTCCTCCTCCTCCTCCTCCTCCTCCATCTTCTTCTCCTCCTCCTCCTCCTCCTCCTCCTCCTCCTCCTCTGGACGTGTGCCCCCAGCCACCGCCTGGAGGACGAAGGCAGCGGGGGGTCAGGGGCGGTGTAGGACCCAAGACGAAGCCAGGACGAAGATAAAATCGTGTGAGGACAAATCGAGAATCTCTGAGAACCGGCGGCTGTGGAGAATGTCTCGGGCGCCGCGGCCTCCTCAGAGCGTTCCGGAACGCGGAACGCAACGGATTGTTCCTCGTGCTAGCACCGTCCGATGGTTGCAGCCTCACATACCATCTTGTCGGCTCTTGCGAGTCGACGCTAATCGACGCTAGTCTACGCTAGATCGACGCAAGTCAACGCTAATCGGCACTTAATGTGCGCATTATCGTCGATTACAGCCGAACCAAGAACAGACAAACATCCTTCAAGAGCATGATACCCTCCGCCTGCCCCAAAAAAAACATAATATCACGGAGGGTACCCTTCCACAAGATGCAAAATAACATACGACAAGCACGAAGAACACCAGCCGACCTCGATCTCGATCTTATACTGCAAGACCTGCCATCGCTTAGACGTCCATTCGTCATGCATTTGTCGACTTCGTGCGTGTTTCTTGGCACGATGCTCCTCGATGATTCTGGTCGGCGAAAATGCACACGTCCGAGCGATGCCAAGAGACTCAATTCCGAGGGCATACAAGGCCCCCGTGGCTTGGGACCGAAAGCGAGGGGGGCAGCAGGGGTGGTGGCCGTGGATCCCCCCCCCGTGCCACGAACCTGGGCGGGGGGGGGGGGCTTCTGGCGGAGGCCCTGTTCGCTGCTGCCCTGTTCGACGCAGCCCCGTTCGCCGCCGCCCTCTTCGCCCCGGCCCTGTCTGCCCTGGCCCTCTTCGCCGCCGCCCCCTTCGCCCGAGAGACCCTTTTCGCCGCCTCCCTGCTCGCCGCCGTCGTCCTCCTCGTTCACGTTGTCGTCGCCGTCGCTGCCTCCGTCTCGTCGTCGTCGCAGCCAGCCCCCCCCGTGCCACGAACCTGGGGGGGGCGGAGGAGGGGGGGAGGAGAAGGAGGAGGAGGAGGAGGAGGAGGAGGATGAGAAGGAGGAGGAGGAGGAGAGGAGGAGAAGGGAGGAGCGGATGAGGAGGCGGAGGAAGAGAGGAGGAGGAGGAGGAGGAGAAGTGGAGAGGAGGAGGAGGAGGAGGAGGAACGAGGAGGAGAGTGCCACGTGTGCTCACAGAAGTATGATCAATGCAGAAAGGAGGGAGGAAGAGGAGGATAGAGGGAAGGGGAGGGGAGGGGAGGGGAGGGGAGGGGAGGGGAGGGGAGGGAGGGGAGGGGAGGGGAGGGAGGGGAGGGCGAGGGGAGGGGAGGGGAGGGAGGGGAGGGAGTGGAGTGGAGTGGAGTGGAGTGAGTGGAAGTGGAGTGGCGGGGGAGGTGGAGTGGAGTGGAGTGGAGTGGAGTGGAGTGGAGTGGAGTGGAGTGGAGTGGAGTGGAGGGGAGTGGATTGGAGTGGAGTGGAGTGGAGTGGAGTGGAGTGGAGTGGAGTGGAGTGGAGTGGAGTGGAGTGGAGGTGGAGTGGAGTGGAGTGGAGGGAGTGGAGGGAGTGGAGTGGAGTGGAGTGGAGTGGAGTGGAGTGGAGTGGAGTGGAGTGGAGTGGAGTGGAGTGGAGTGGAGTGGACGCCGCTGCGATGCAGGTGGAGGAGGAGGAGGAGGAGGAGGAGGAGGAGGAGGAGGACGAGGAGGAGGGGGCTGCGCCCCCGCCCGTGCGCGGGGCATCTGCGGAGGGAGGCGCAACACGGCCGCCGAGACCCCCCAAGGGCGGAGGCCCCTCCTCCGCTGAGGACAATGCCCCGGGCCATCGCCCGGAGAATGGAGGCCGCCGGGGTCCAGGCAGCTCGCGAGGAACGCATGTTTTTGTTCGCGGCCACAACGGGCGTTATGGGGGGACGCGGGGGGGGGGGACGGGAGGGGGCATAACGCAGCGCCCCCCCTCCCCAGACTGTGGTGCCAGACGCACCGCGGCAGTGCCGGGAACGCACTGAGAGGGGAGCGTTAAGTTATGGGGGGGGTAGGGAAGAGGGTCATTAGGGGGCATAACGGGCGTCATGGCCCAGAAGGCACAAAAAAACACTCTCAAAACTGATCGGACCGCGAGCGAACCGTCCCGAATCGAATCGAACTAGAGATGGGATCGCAGCGCCCAGCTCCGGCTAGCCCCGACCAATGCTAGCGATTCGAGCCGAATCGAATCGAGTCGGAATCGCGGCCCCAGCTGGCGAATCGAATCGCGCGGAAGGATCGCAGGCGGCCCTGTCAGGTGTGGTGGTGGTGGCGGTGGTGGTGTGCACCTTGTGGGGGCGCTCTCGCGGGGCATCCGGCCCACCTGCACGCCAAAAATCAGCCCATCCTTTCTCCCCACATGTGTGAGGGTGAACGTTTGTGGGGAGGGGGCCAAAGGGCTCAAGAAGATGAGAGGGAACGATAGGTTCGAGATTCGAGGTTTTCGGGCTTTTCAGTTGTCCCTCGGTGGTTTTCCAGCCTCGGGGTGCGTTCCAGCAGCTGCGCCTCGACGAGAGCGTTCCAGAGGTGCCCGGATCGTCCCGCATGGCCGCCAGAGGCCCGAGTTGTGAGATCGCCCCCTCACCCCATCACAACCAACCCACCAGTACCCACAGCTCGTTCGTTTGAGGGAGGGATACGGGCTCCCCCAGGACGCTCCGAGCGATCACTTTTGAGTCGACCCCAGAACGGCCCGACCCCAATCGGCCCGACGGTACACGCAGCCATCGTGCTACCCATAAGGAGCTCCAGACAATGAGGAACGAGGGGCCTCTTCTGGCCACGGCGAGCCCCGGCCACAAGATTGGGTTCCCCGACCTCGGCCCAGGGCACGGCCGCGAAACCGAAGGCCCCCCGGAGCCCACAGTGGTCCGTACTTCAGCGCCTTCTCTGTAGGAAAGCCGAGCGCGCAGACGCCTCGGACTCGGAGGGCTTCTTTCTGCATGCATTCGAATACCGCGCCTGCACATCTGTAGTGGCTGCGCTAGCCTCTGCGAAGCAACGTTCTGGACGTGAGGATGGCGATTACGCATGCCTTTACATGCCACGCCCTGTCTTCCGATGTGGCCTCATCTGCCTCTGTAGCGAGAAATGTAAGAACGGCGGCAACGGCGAAAATTGAGGAGAATACGCAAGCCGTGATCTGCACCGTGATTCTGCCGAAATCGCCTCAAACTCACGATGGCTTGATGTACGCACCATTGTAAGTGCAACCGGTCTGGGCGACCTGGCGTAATTGTGACGTGGAGATGCCCTGTGCTGTCAATGCAGCTCTCATGCTTGTCATCTCTTCTTCCGATGCCACTGGGGTGCGGCTGAATAGCCACAAACCGGCACCATTGATGCCTGCAGTCGTCGTCGTGCAACCATCAGAGAATTTCTCTGTTGGCTCACCACCAATGACCACAGCCCAGTTATACTTGCCAGCCCCATCTTTCCCTATCGCGATGATCCAATATGGTCCGCTGAGCAGGTTGGGCAAGAAGCACGGCGCAACGCTGAGCTTGCCAGGCTCGGACTCGTCCTGAAGACGAGCGCACAGCGTCTGCTCGTCGTCGTTCTGCAGCGGGCCGTTCACGGCGCCCACGTTGGCCTGGTTGTAGACCTCGATCACCTCGCCGCTGAAGAAGGGCACCCAGGCGTCGGTGCCCCTCTCGTAAGTGGCAGTAACGCAATAGAGGCTCTCTTCGGGCTGATACCCCGTGACCTGCTGCTCCTGGATGTACCACGTCGCGCGGGTCCACTCGTCGAGGTCGACGTCCGCCTGGACGTCCAGGGCCTGGCAGACAGGCGCTTCGCAGCACTGACCCTGCCAGCCCGCCTCGCACCTGCAACTCCAGGACCACCACGCCTCGTACTCCCCGTTGTGGCACCCCCACCAGCAGTGCGCCAGGGACGTCGGCAGGGCCCCCAGCGCAAGGGCCATGGTCAGAGCGGGCTGCATCGCAAAGGAGGGCCTCTCTTGACCAGCTGGCCTGGTGGATGGCTTCGTGCACCTCGGGTGCCGCGCGCAGCGAGAGATGAGCTCACTCGCGATCCTCGAGCCAGAGCCGCGGTGGAACTCCTGCGTCCCAAGACTTGCAGCAGCGCTCCGCGGAAGACGCGGCCCGTCGCCGACGCCGCAGGCACTTCCGGGAGGCGGCGAGCGGGGAGGCAGGGAGCGCAGCTGGGGGGAGGGGCGTCGGCTGGCTCGGCCAGGGGGGTCCCAGGCACCGACCGCGGGCCGGGAGCGGCCCGGCCGGGATCGGCGGGGCGGCACGCAGTCCAGCGAGGGACGCACGCCGGCGCACGGAGGGCGCTCGGAGGCCCGAGCAGGGGCGGCGTCCCTCGGTCCGTCCCCGTGCCGCCCACCCGACGAGCATCGATGGTGGGGAGGGCGGGCTCACGGCCTGACCCCGGGCATCCTGGTTTCCTGCTTGTTCGCGGCGTGGCTTCCCGGAAGCCTGGGCCCCCTCCGCGGGACCAGCGTTTTCCCTTGCGCGCTCTTGCTGACGGTCCCAGGGCACGGCAAGGGGCCCCAGAGGCCGAAACTTGCCAGAAACCGTCCGCCGCGTTTTCCCTCACCACGCGGGGACGGCAGGGGACAGCAGCACTGCCCCGCCCGATGCACCTGCCCGCTCTCAAACCAAGTGGCCCGCAGCAGCGCTGCAGCCGACAGCCGGGCGTTGCCAGGCCCAAGGAGGAGAGCCCGGCTTCTCGCGCCACTTGTGAAAGCCCCTGTGGGTCCTCTGGGCCTCGTGAGGGGGGCTCTGGAGCCCATCTGGGCCTCCCCGGGAATCCTGGGGACACCCTGGGCCAGGGACGCATTGTGCAACACCCGAGAGACAACGACGACGACGACGACGACGACGACGCCGCCGACGACGACGACCAACGGCCCACGACGACGAACGATGATGACGACGACGACGACGACGACGACGACAACGACGAGAACGATAACGACGACGACGACGACGACGACGACGACGACGACGACGACGACGACGACGACGACGACGACGACGACGGCG